CGATTACACAGAGCATCAGCGACACAGCGGCTTGGCTGAATACCATAAATATGAGGTGTAGCGAGCAATCGCAGTTTTTCGTTTTTCGGACGAATTATTGTCGTTGGCCGAATCATACAACAAAGTTAGTATGTTGAGCGTGACTCAGGTTGGCCGATTCATTTCGGAAGTCCGATTCGCGGGCTCGGCCATTGGGTTCCATGGGACAGAAACCCCGACGCCGGCGTTGCCTGTACAAGGACAGTAATAGGGATGAAGTTCGGGGCGATTTAACATTGCCGTGAACATGATCCTTCTCGCCATCCATCCCCGAGGAGAGAAAGCCGTGTGTCTCATAAGAGATGAGAGACAAAGAACAAGTCGACTGCATCGGCGGGACTTCTGTACCTGTACCCGGTACTCGCACATGTGACGGACTTGTAAGGCCGAGTTCCGGATTCGTGGATTTCTCACGCGACAAGGATCCCCCCTTCTTCCCCTGCATGGATCCGAGGTTCCATGGGTCCGTCCACTTTTAATGCACGTCGGCTGACGATATGCCGAGATGACGAATGCCTCACAACCAGTCAACGGGGTTTTCAGGTGCAACGGTGGTACATAATTTTCCGGTGCTTCACACCAATCGTAGCAGTGGCGTAGTCAGGTATTCAAGAGTCAATACCGAGTATTGACTGTCAAGTTCCTCGGGCTGCTCGGGCAAGAGGGAAAGTGGACAAGTATCAAGGAGATCCAGGCCTTGTACTTTGTACGAATAATAGGCGAGAATGCATGTCCTTTGTACTGTACGAGGCACTTGTCCTCGCCTCGAACCCCGTCTCACATATTCTTCAGTGATTTTTCGTGTCAACACTATACTCCATACAAGGACAAGCAGGATAGCCGCTTCGTTCGAATTCAACGTAGCAAGCGACCGCCGAAGTATCCGGGTGGTGGTAGTGGTAGTAGTAATGTAGTGTTGCATTTGCACGCATGCACACACGCGCGTGTGTGTGTCGAGACTTGGTCTGTACCCCACAATATCTAGCATGTTCTAGGCCTGCAAAGTCACGACAGACAGTCACGACATGTCTTGTAGGTATACAATTACAGGTAACTGGAGCTCCTCTCTTCTACGCGTTCTAGACAATAATGGAGAGAGAGAGAGAGGGACTCTCCAAGTACGGCCCGCCTCTGCACTCTTGCTTCGAGCCGAGGAGTAGACAGTAATTAGGGCGAACTCTTTCTTTCTCCTTTTGTTCTCGTGATACACGCTGTGGATGTTGGAGCAATTATTCCACCCCAATTATTATTTAATCCGCAGGGTCCAGAAGCACCAAAAGTTCCAGACCACTCCAAGTCCAGACCCCAGAGTCCCGGGTACCTACTTTGCCATGTAAGTTTGGCGGGCCTTGTAGGTACCGCAGTACCGCTACCTTGTTGCTCAAGCGTCTGGGCTGTGTTGTACATGTAATTTCCCCTTGCTGCGGCTCGCCTTGTGCGGTCAGTCAAGCAGGGCAGTGCATGTACCTCGCACTGTAGGTACCCCGGCCATGTACTCGGTATAGGGTGCTACAGGCCACTGTGCGAGACATACCCCGTACCTCCACATTTTATGCCGATAGGTCTGTCCTCTGAATCTCCAAAGTACCCGGTACCTTTGCATGGTACAGTACTTAGGTCCGGGGCACATCAGGGCCACCACCCCAAACCCCAAACCCCTCCAGATACCCAGGTCAATAACGAAGTAGTGTCGCTTTCTCTACCCGCTGACAATATACAAATGCCGAAGAGACACAGCCACGTAATGAGTACTCATAGGGAGCTGCGGTGCTCCATCCGGGCGCCCACATCCGCTGCAGTGAAGTGTTCCTTGCGCGTCATACCGCACATCTCACTACCTACAAGGTATCGCAACGGGATGATCCTTTCTATCTCCTGACTGACTACTGCTGACTGCTGATCGTCTAAATTCTCCATTGTCTCGATTCCTCTTTCCCCGCAATATCAGCAACCCCATATTCTCATGCATGCAAGCATGTAACAGAGACAGACCGCGTGACTGAAACGAGTAGTGTCAGGGGTGTTCGGGGCAGCGGGCATGAAGAGGGAGGAAATGAAATCCCCCAGTAAGACAGCGTCCATGCTCGGTTACTCATACTCACCATAAGCATCATCTATTACCATCCTCGGTTACGCTCTCACTCGCCAACTACACAAGAAGTAGTAATACTCGTCTCCTTTGCAGCGGTCGCGTGCCGGCCATATTCCATTCATCCAGACGAATTACCGAAGTCCATTCCTCTTCCCCGAGTTTATTTGCCGGCTAGGTGCTTGTAGGGCCGGCTTAATCATCTCCCCCGCTTTCTTTTGGGCCCTACCTCTACCTGTCTTGTCCTAACGTAGTGTAGAAAGTGCTTCTCAACGGTGCGTCCGCGTGAGAGTGACGCAGTGTGTGTGGGTATCAACTTTTGGTACGTCCAACAATATTCCCGTCTCGTTCTGTTCTGAATTGTTTCTCGGCCGTTCGATTTGCTGATTTTGAGTGGACTAACTACTCGTACCATCGAGCCGTGTTGCATTTCCTTGTCAGTAGAGTGCTCCGTGGCCCCGTTAGTGAATCTACCTAATCTGGGGAGTGTCACATGGCCCAACGGTCATTCTCGTTCGCGTCGGCACTTTAGACAACAACACTTTTTCGGAATTCCTCTTCTTTCCTTTTTCGTTGCGGTTGTAGGTTGTAGATTCTGCATTTATTTCTTCACTAGAAGGTGGATCTTGTTGTGTTGTTGGGTGAGACCACCAGACCAGGCCATAGTCTCGTGGACCTGGAGGCGTGGCCTCGCTCTCGGATCAAATAATAACAGTCAGCATACTCGTAGACCACGAGCACGAGCATGAGAACATGTGGAAGCGACCACCAGCAGCGATGTTCCCGTTCCCCACTCACAACTAACCAACTAGAATAACAATTTCCGCACCGAGTACAAGTACCAGTAGTAGTGTGAAGGTAATACTTGTACTCGGTACTTGTACCTGCTTTGCGTTGTGACCCCTTTTGGACTCGGACCAGACCCTGTCCCTTGCGACCGCGACCGCGCGTGCTCGGTTCCGAGGTGCTGCACTACTACTGCCTGACCATGACTGACTAGTCTCTCGGGGGGACGAACTCGACTTACTCGCACGAATTAACTGGTTATGCTTGTGCAGGCAGGCACACACGGAAAAGCCCAAAAACCAAAAAAGCCACCAAGACGAAAAAGGTCGGGGCTCGTTCCCCTCGAATAATGAAATCCCGTCCTTCCCCGTTTTCGTGAGGCTGAACCCGGGGGGGGGTCGGCGCACACGGCGCACGCGGCGGAAGAAGCATTTTCTTCAGGTCATCAGGTCATCAGTAAGGCACGAGAAGGAGCAAAAAAGAAGAGGCGAGGAAAGAAAAACAAAAACCGTTCCAGCCCGACGGTACGAGGTACGGTTATCATTCCCTCGCCCCCCTTTGGGCTTGGGCTTCGTACTTGGTACCTGGACTTGGGGTTGTTTTTCTCACTCTGCCTTTTCTTTTTGTCTTTGCAGACCCCTTGCCCTTGCATAGACTTGTACCTGTACTTGTGCTCGCTACTGCACTTGTACAAAGGATGCAGGTCCATTCTTGTAGGTGGTACTCGGGGGACAAATCGAGACGGAGATGCCGAAAGCGGCGACGGAGGCGGTGGCGGCTGTGCAAGAACGTGCCGGATCCGGCGACTTGCGATAATTGCCAACCACGTGCCAACAACTCACCTTCACCTTCACTTGCGCCAGGCACAGGCACTGTTTTACCAAGTCACATGTTCACCTTCTGTACCTAGTACTTGGTACACACTTGGACCTGCACAGGTACATACCTCTACAGTAGTAGTAGAGTAGACTACTCGTAGAGTCCATACAAGTATCAAGCCCTCGGTAGGTAAGAGTCTTATTACTCCCAGTTCCATCGTCCTTGTATGTACCTGGACTTGGACTCATATCATCCTCCCTCTCTCACTCTCACTCACGTGAACCTACATACACGTACAAGTATAGAGTGGACAACCATCCGCCTCGATGGCGCTGTTGCCGTTGACGATTGACGCGTCTGGACTCATGATCTCTCGAATCTCTCCACGGGCGGCCTGGCTAGCTGGCAGGCAGGCGGGCACGTTGGCAAAACACTCCCTAGAAGAAAAGAAACGGGTCCTACTCACTACGAATAGCCACCTAGTTACTCACATGAGCACACCACCATGCATGAGAGTGGACAATCCATGACAAGTCATCAACAAAAAAAATCTGCGCCCGACAAACAACTACCAACTAACAAACGAGCAAGGAAAACATGTCATGTCATGCGTTGCCCACTGTGGCCAATCACGGTTCCTCCGAACCAACGAATCCAGTCCAATCCAATCCAATCCAATCCAATATCAAAGATCGTACCTAATGAAAAACGGTTACTTGATAGTATTACAATAATCAACCGTGCGTTGTCGTTGTCGCTGAAATGCAAAACTTGAATCTGGATGGATAGATAGATGATGGTTGGATGGCTCTGGTCTTATTGCTTCTCCTCCTCATAATGGTACAACCTCTCTCTCTCTCCCAGCAGCAAAACTAGCCCGAGCTATCTGGTGTATTCGATCGTATGGTACAATGTAGGTGACTATCAGAGCAATTACCCAAGGAATGGGCCGATACCTCAGTGCCGTAGCCGGTATGGTTTGAGGTCAATTGTATCTAGCTCCATTCATTCAACATGATAATAAAGTATGCACGTCACTTTTGAGCCGCCGCCGCCTCCAAAGAATATGGTCCGAGATGCGCCGTTGTACATGGATGGGGCAACAGGGCCTCTCCATCCTTGCCGTTTTCCGGACTCGCCAATCGTAAAGGTGTGGTGTAAGTGGTTCGTAAAGCACATGAACAACGTGACCCCGCTCAGAACGCAGATAAAAAAACCAAGGATAGCAAAAATGGTAAAAAGATGCAGCAACGCTCGATGCCCAGGCCTACCAGCCTTTGGTATGATATTCCCAAGTGTTGTCAAAGGTCCACGAGTCGTCCTTGGACAAGTCCACGGCCGGCGCTTGAGGTTGGCCTCCTGGCCCACCTGCAGCCTGACCAGCTGAGGGGAGATTGGCCATTGACTGGGCGTTACGGCTCCGCTTGAGGAAGGCGTTGACTGTCTGAGATTTCTGTTGTCTCTCCCATAGGAGGTTCTTCCGGAGAGATTCGGTCAGCTCGGTCGACAGCATGTTCCGTCTCGTCGTTCGTGGTGAATGGGCCACAGGTTTGGAGGATGACTTGGGTGGTGGAATGGCGATGGGTGGCCGATTCGACGTTTGCATCATCATGCCGTCCTCTTCCTCGGGCGAATTGGCCAATGACGGTCCTTGTGGGGGTGAGGTTTGCCGAGACCGATGGAGAGCAGGCTGGGAATATGCGTGGGCCAGGCCGGCTCGACCTTTGTTCAGGGCCAGAGTCAACATGGATCGCCGCGATGGCAAGACACTGCGGCTGTCCACCCGGCGGAACAGATGAGGTTCTTGAACCACCTTTCCATCGTCCGAAGTTGAATCTTCCCAGTCATCGCCGTCTTCCTCGTCCTCGTCGATGGCAGATTCCATAACTTCGTCAGTATCGTCCTCTTCATCACTGCTTGCAATGGCGCCCTCGTCGTTTTCGGCGTCTTCCTGGATTCTCCGCTCGGCAACAACATCCCGGAATGAAGTTCTCTTTGGGGGGAGATCACTCTTGCGTTCAGACAGATTCTGCTTGCTCAAACTCTGGGAAAGTGAGCTTCTCTGCGGAGGTGCTCGGACAGACAGGACCCGTTGTTCAAATGAGGATTCATCATCCTCCGACGAGCCGCCAAGGGTAAACATGGCTGTTGACTTCAGAGCACCTTTGGGTGGAGCAATGAACTTGGAAGGAGCTGTAGGTGGCTTGACACTTGAGCTGGCAGTTCGAGAACGACATGAGGACGCCACAGGGGAAAATCCATGGACAATAGAACCGCTTGGAATTAGTCCATCTGAAGATACCGAAGTATCAGAATCACGATGCTCGCTCTGACGAGCCGTACTCAATGTTGTGGCAGTGGTGGCGGAGAGACATGAGTCGGTGGAATCTTGGAGGGGCTTCAGAACAGGTTGAGGTCGTGCTTCGGCAGTGTTCTCTCTTTTCTCCGAGGCCTCTTGCTTCCAAGATGGCACTTTCGTAAAAGGACGACTGGCCTCTAGTGATGGAGACAAGGGACAAAGATCGGTCTTTTCCTGTATTGAAGCGACAATCTTTTCTAATGTGATGGGACTCAGATGTCGAGACTTGGAGAGAGAGCTGGCGCATTCGTCCTGTGGGGGGGACCGGGATCTGGTCCTGGAGTGAGCAGGACTGCATCGTCCTTCGCTCAGACAGTCATTTGACGACAATGAAGTGCTAAGAGAGGGCACTTGGCTCGGGGAAGGCGTCACACATAACGACTCTCGCGACCATATCCGCCAACTCAAATTCTCTAATCGGGGCCCCTCATCTAGTGTATCTGAGCATTTTGAGAACATGGACCACATCGCCATCAAACTGCAGGCATTCGAGGGATCGATATGGTGCATCTTGCCCCGGTCCAGACATAGGACATGGGGGATTTTGCGCGGTGGCATCTCGAGGAGAACCCTCGTGTGGACTGGTCAGGAGAGAAGCTAGGTCGATGAGATGCCCAATAACGAATATTCTAGGGGGAGGATCAAATAAAGAGGACGGCGCTGGCGCTGGCAGGTTGGCAGAAGTTGCAGGGCCGCAAACGGGTGGGAATGTGGTGGGATCGGCTTGTGACGCAATTCAAGACCTCGGTCCGACTCGAAGGGGGACGTGTGCAGACGACTTGGACGCAACCGACAACTTGACAGAGGGTGAATTCAAGGTCCGGTGAGACGGATGTCGAGGTCGAACGGGAATGTGTATCGACGAGAGAAAGACTTGTGTAGGTCTTTTAGGGTGTGTGTGAGAGCGCGGTTAAGTCTAAGAGACGTGTGGGTGAAGAAATGGTGATGGGGCTTTGCGGATGGGGACGAGCGGTATAAGGACCACAAGTCCGGGCCAGGTGTGCGACTTGCAGGGGTTGTTGTTTGTCGAGATGGTAAGTTGCAGAGGGAGCTGGACCAGGGCACAAGGCACGAAAAAAGCGAGCAGGGGGGAGCGAGCAAAGAGGATCCAAGTGGAGGTGGGCAGAAGACCGGGGCGAGAGTCCAGGACAGACCAGAATTCGAGAGGGCGAGGGTAGGAGGAGACGCAGCGGACGACCCAGGTGAGAAAGGTGACTGCAGATTTGTGCCTTTAACTCGGTGGTTATTGGACAATAGTGCAAGGTTCGAGACACGAGGGACGAAAAGTGTGGGAAAGCCTAGAAGGGGCAAGGGGGAGGAGGGATTTGGGGGGTGGAAGAGTAGGCAAGGGGGGGCAAAAGACGTTCTGGCAAGACCCAAGTTTTAGTGAATACACTAGAATCCACTGGTAACAGATGTAATGACAGGATAGACCAGGAGACCAGCCACCAACCGCCGACTTGGTTTAGGGACCCCGAAGCCGAGGAGTCCCTCGGGGGGCGTTCGGAGCTGATTCATGGCTTTATCGCTCCTTTGGGGGAGGAACGGGGTCACACTGGCCTGGGATTGGGGATTGGCAGTGCCTACGAATACCTTGAGGCCTTTGGGTACCCTTGGGCACCACCCACACAGCCCATCTGGTTATCTTCTTGGGGGGACTCCGATCATTGACTTGCGCGCCCCCTCCCCCCCCCGAAGTCCCATCCAGGCACCAATTGTTCCTTGGGCCAGGCATCAGTATTGTCGCCCATCACTCATCACCACGGGAAACTCTGGACGTTATTGCTTCTTCTACCCACTATGCATTCACATTCACAGTCTTCTGTACGTAGCGTGGTGAACCTTTTCCCAAAAGATATTGGACATCATGGTAACTCATCACCACTAGTGACATGTGAGACCGATGGATAAATGAATGTCTGGAAGTTGATATTGCCGTGGTATTCCAGAGCTTGGGTCACATGCCAATAATAACATTTGCCTTAGATCCGATGGGGGATTGTTTTTGCCTCAGCCACAGGCTACTTCTGTCTACTACTACTCGGTAGTAGTACGAGGCACTTCCGCCTCCTTCTGCCCTACGACTACGACTACGACTTGCCGACATGCAACGATATATCGTTCTCGGGAAGTGTTAGCGACTGGCTGAGTGATGGTGTGCGATGTTCCCCTACATATACTCTCGCTAGAGGGGTCAATGTGACTGACCAAGATACAAGTCATCATCCTGGAAAGTACCCCCCAAAGCTCATCAAGCCACCCCATGCCATCCATCGAGACAAAGGAGAGATCCTCAAAACTCGTCAAGCCAGCTGACTCGACTCGGAACGAATGAGACGACGTCCCATCATCATCATACTGCGGCGATTGGCGGAGTAAAAGGAAAAGGTTGAATTCGGCCAGAAAGGTAATCTCTCCCAGCCACTACGGTACAAGAGCACAGACGACTCGGGGGTCGAGTAAGCATGTCACCCTTCTTCTGCAGCCATCCGATTCCCCGTTGGCGCTAAATGGAAGATGGGGCAAGAGGCTGTCTCCATAAGCGCGGCGGAAGGAAACGCTCATCAAGAGAGGAGCAAAAGGAATCTAAGCCCGGCAAGTGGTCCCAGAGTCGAGTCAGCTGGACAGGCAATAAGAGAAGAGCATTTTTTTCCATCAGCACGTGGAACTACTTTCTGGCAGCTCTGCAATTCTTGCCTTGACATGTGCCCAAGCATCAAGGTACGCAGGGGCGATCATTTCCTTGCCTATCCAAGCACCAAGTTACCTCACCCCCCCTTCTTACTCAACAAGATATCCTGATGCTACATTACTGTACATGTTATGTTGTTCCCAAGCTTGATGTGGGTGTAGTGCCGGTGGCCACGAACCCAGAACGACACAAAAGGTCGCCGTCTATCGAGTACCTTCCTACGGAGTAGTTATCGTGGTGGAGGAAATGTGGAATCTCTGTCTCTCCGACACTCTGGCACCGATCCATCGCATCGTCCGAATGCGGCCATCGATTCACCGGGTAACGATCAACCAATTTCAACGCCTTGTTTCTCATGCACGGGCCTCTTTTCGTCCCGCATGCCATTTGGATCTCAATGATTTTGCCATACCCAGCTTGGCCGCGTTCGAACTCCCGGGCCCCCCTGTGTGCGCGCCCATCAAGGAAAGATGCAGCCTCTCCCAAGCCACACTGTAATGATGTTGTGTTCCCATCCCACTCGTTTCACGTCTCGGCATTCGGTTAGGGCTCAACCTCCCATGCGTTTGTGGCTTAAGAGGCGTCCATTCACGGGCATGCGTGACCCTCTGTCTCTCGGGGCTTTTACTTCAGTTGTCGTTCAATCCTGAACAAATTCCCTTCCCCCATTCGTCGGCTGCCTTTTCCCCCGAAGCTGTCTCAGGAATGCATTTCCAGTCCTTTGTATACGAGTCCTCTAAGACCCTGTCGCAGCAATCACATCTCAATCAAGCTTGGGGCGAAACCGATCACGCTACCAAGAGCAACGGGCTGGACAGAATTAAACAAAGTGATCAGCAGCTCAAGACAAAGCTCAATCTCGAAAGGGAAGGGGAGCATGTCGATTCAGCAAATCCTGACGCGGAATGAACCTTCATTTCCTGCTTGCCTCACCAAACTATGCGCAGTGCTGGAGCTTCCCCGGACACCGGCTTTCACCCGATTCAATAGTTCGAGGGGGAAGAGGTGGGACACTCGGAACCGCATAACCGCAGACCGTTGTCCCGGAGCTGGCACCGACCAACGAATGAGCCGGGTCTGGTCGCTTCGGATGCCTCACAATCACCCCCCAAACCTGTCGTTTTAAGGTTCTTCTTCCTAGGTTCCCTTCCCCATTGCCGCTCCTTAGGTAGGATTACGAGTACTCTTCTCGACGCTTTGGCTGCAGGTGCAGGGTCACCAACTGCTCCTGAAGTGAACTCTGCCCCCGGGCGGATCAAACTCGTTTGCATAGTCATATGCCGGGTATGGCGGGGAACACGGACTCTCAAAGCCTGGTGGCGCCCAAACGACTCGTACATGAGAAAGCAGGGGTGCCTTTCACACAAGTCGTCAATGTTGCCACGACAATGCCGGACAGCCCACTCACACACAACCCCCCCTTTCCCAACCCTCGTCATCAATGGCATCTCGGAGATGCAACAGATGGGCGATCTGGTAGGCTATTGACTTCTCGCAGCCTTGCCATTCGTGCAATCCCCTCGTGTTGCGAGAGCACAGTCGTCACCGCCAATATGCACATTTGTTTCCCCTTGGGGAATTATTCCTTGCTGGAGTGGCTTTTTACGGCGTCTCTTGGAAACTCCTCCATTCCCACCCTCCTTTGCCGGTACATTTGTCCAGAGTTTCCCCTTTCGCAAAGCCCTGGGGACAACCTTGTGCGATGCTCTGGGGCGAAGGTTTCCAGCCTTTTTAATCTCAGCATCTGAAGCCTGTTCCCTGCCTCTTACCACCAGATTGCCTATACTTGTGACTAACATGAATCAACTCGACCATCATTTCATTGAACCTTGCCCCTCCGCTTGATCCGAAGTTTCGACGCACGACAGCTGCGGTAGTGGAGGTGACACCTTGACATCTGGAGGTGTGCACAATCGCCCGATCTTACGACCCATAGCTGAAGCTTCTTCCGATAGAGCTTCACCCGAAGGCTAACAACCTATAGCCAGATAGAGCCTGTTGCTTTCAAGAAACCCTGCCATCAAGCGTAGGGTTTGCCAACGTCAAACCGAATTGCGACAAGAATGCAAGGGCTAAAAGTCCCTTTGGAGTTTTCTGGTGTCATCAGCGACGCTCCTGTCACTGCGTCTTTACCCTGTGACCATTATGCAGGACGGGACTCCTTGTATTGCCACCACTGTGAAAGACATTCATCTTCTGTTACACAACACCCCTTTTTACCATATGGAACGTCTGCAAGCTCAAGGGGGGCAGCTCTGAGGGGAATTCTGAACGAGTCCCTCGCCCTGATCTTGCACTCTGATTTCATATGCAGTGGACTTACTGGGATGTTAATACATGCCCACTCTCTTACCTACTTGTGCTTAGCAGATCAACGCCGTGCGGGTCAATAGACGGCCATTGATCTGATTGATTGCTGGCGCCCTCGAGGCTTGGCCGCTGCGCATCCTCCCGTGGCCCACTCGGTCGTCGTCTCTGGAAAAAGACAAATTGTCAGGATGCGATTTCTTTCATGTATCGTTATACAGTGTTAGCGAACCAAAAAAGCAAGGATGGCGAAGACCAAGCAAAAGAAAAAGACCCATGCCACACACACCACCTCGCGGACTGCTGAGACTGCTGAGGCTTGAGATTTATTCGGTCACGGGGTGCATGAGGTGGCAGGGCAAGGCTGGGCAGGGTTCAAAATCAAGGCCAAGAATGGGAATATGCCAACGGGACTTTCCTTTGCCTTTCCCCCAGTGTCAATTGGGGTGGTTGCCTCTTCCTTGCATCATTCCCGCTTCGTCGCGCTCCCCACTTTCTTGGGATGTGATCTGCGGGGATTAATTCAAAAGAGGTTTCTTTCTATACGAGCAAGCGAGTTTGTCGCTCGCTCGCTCTTTCTACTCTCCCTTGCATGGCGTATTTAGCAGGTATTACTATTACTATATCCCTTGAACATCCCCTTTCCGGTCAAGTATCCATGCACCTACTCACCTACCTATGTAAATACCCCGGTGCCAGTCACCAGTCAAGTCAAGTAACGAGGAGAATGTAGACGGACACATGATAGATATAATTTCCCTTCCACCCCCTTCCCCTCACGGCCCCTGATGTCATCAAATAAATACCTTTCCTTGCTGGTGCTTGCATACCCACGCATACGAAGTATTATCCCGCCCAATGCCGTGTATGGTTGATTTAGAGGCTCAAAGGATTCAATGCTTTGGGTCTTCAGGTGTATACGAGGTAGGTGTTGTGTGGTGTGGTGGGCAGGTGGAATTGAATGAGATGAATGAATGGCATTTCCCGAACAATTGGGCTGCATGACATGACCATCGAGCTGTGCATCGCCATACCGCCATATCGGCATAACAGGGACTGCCTTGTCTGTCTTTTATGTTACCAGCGGAGAAAAAAGGGAAATGTCGGTGGGAGGAAAAGTAAGCTCAAAGAAAAGGGATTTTCGAGGCGGTGAGATTCTATGTATGTAAGGTATGTATGTAGGTTCCGGGGTCATGGATGATGGAGATTGTCATGGAGATGGGGATGGGGATGTGCATGTGGGTGTGGTGGACAAGTGTGATAATATCATACATAGCACATAGCACACTAACGCCACAGAACATAAAACAAAAAACAAAAAACCACATGATGCGTTACCGTGTTGCGGTGTGTGTAATAATATTGATGATGCCTATGAGTAGCTACGAGGTCTGTAGGTTTGTAGGTCTACATGAGGGTGTTCGGGGTATCAAAGGCTTTCTTGGGTTGTTTCCGTCGTCCTCTCCCCAAGGGCAAGATATATGGTTACATAGTTATGTACATATCTCATTTTAGGTACTTGTCTGCAGGTCTGCATGTCTATCTCTAGGTACGAATGTGTGTGCAGGTCCTGGTCACTTCTTACCAAAACAAACCGTCCTTTCCTCCTCTCGCTGCCCTCACGGTCTCTTTTCTGATGTCACCGAATTATCATTACGAAAAAGGAACATCCCTTACCTCTCCCTCCTGGCTTCGTCATGTATCGGGCTCCCTTTTGGTATGTACAAGTATGTACATTACATTACACCTTGCCCCTGTCACTTTCTTTTGGTTTTGCCTCACCTCCTCTCGCCTACTCCCTCTCGACGCGGTGTCGTGGTCCGTCGGACAGGACGATCACTGGCAAGGTTGGTATGTGGATTTGTGCTCGGGCCAGAGACTGGCTCAAAACGGGGACGTGTCGTCTTCTACCCCTTTCATCCCTTCCGCCCTTGCAACCTCTCGCGGTCGGGGGCCTCCGGTCTACGCGTGTGAAAGCAACACTGTTGGCGGACGGACCTGGATGATGGTCTGGACGTCTCGTGTCTGTCTGGTGTGGCATCTTGAGTCGATGTGAGGCTCAATCAGAGATGACATGGATCCCTAGGTATGCATGACGGGGGATCAGCAAATGAATGGGACCAGGCCATTCTTCCAACGACACAGACAGGTCAGTACTGAAGAACCCAAGTGCTCTGAGCGAGAGGGGGACTCTGTATTTCCTTCACACCTAAGTTATCACATGCCCTACCTACCAGGTCCTGCACCGAGTACCGTGCACCACAAGTCCCAGATTCTCAGAACCCGTGAGGGATATTCTTCTGGTAGACTCACGAACCATATCCACACCCACACCCGATACCGCTACGATCCCTTGGTTCGAGTGGCTACGGTGCCCCTCCTCGAAGAGGGACAGGAAGACAATATTCATCTATTACTCCCGCGCAAAACACTTCAACAATTCAAATCCTCACTCAGGATCGAACAAAAAAACACACATCGGCTGGTGTGGTGTAGTGGTTAGCATGCTTCGTCAACAAGTTATGGGTGCATCGTAACTGCATTTAACCCCTCAACCACAAAAGTGGGAGGGGTCAACAAACAGTCATCTAACTCCCTAACAATAATCCGAAGCGACCCTGGTTCGAATCCAGGCACCAGTATCTCTGTTGTTTGTTCTTTTTTTTGCTCAGGAAAGAGATTCGGAGGGGTGTTTTGGTGGTAGGTGTGCGAGAGGCGAGTGTGGGCGACTCATTGTTTGGTTCCGTTCATGGTGCATTGCTTGTATTTTTGATGATCAAGGAAACAGCGCGCAATTGGCGTTCCAGAGTTTGGATTCGAACCTACAGAGTGGCTCGGTGCGGCAAGAATGAATGAGGGGTGGAATCCTTCCACTCGCTTTTTTCTGCTGCTGCCAGAGAACAGGGACGATGTCTCTGTCTACCCTTCTCGTCCTCATAGAGAAAGGGGCCATGACCAGCCAGGTGTTGTGATGCCGATGACCTGACATGTCGAGTTCATCTTCACGGGGCGAGCTGCTGTTGCTCGCGCAAGTGGAAGTCAAGACCACGATCGCGTTGAAAGCTTTTCAAGATACCGAGACAAGAGACACTGGAGCAACTCATTTACTAGGCCATTCGAAAGTTGTTCGGCGGACAAGTAATTGGCATTGTTGACGGGGGTTGGCAAAGAATGAAAAGAAGTGAGAAGTCAAATTTTGGTTTTTCGAGTACTTGAGTGGCTTGGGGCTTAACCTGATCAGGAGAGTCGGATATTGAATAATAATATTACATCGCTGCCCAGCGGTTGTTGTTCAAATGTCCATGTAAATAGCACTTCTCTCGAAGTCCAGTAATATTTGTATATCAATACGGAACAGTCGGTGCTTTGCTCAGTCTTCGCCTTTTTCGCATTGCATGGAGCAAAAGGTAGCGGACGGGTTTGTACTGGTTCTCTATGGATTTTGCGCAGTTAACGTTGATCAATCTCATCCCTTATGTGCGATGCAGTATGCGCTGGTCTAGCGGGCCTGCGGCTGATTCTATGGCAGAAGAGATGTCGAGGCCACGGATTGATGGTCCGAGCTGTGACTTCATAAATCGTGGATGGTGATGTCGCCGCGGACGTCGGCAGATTTGGAGAGGAGCAGAGAGGAGGGAGGGAGTGCGAGGAAAGCCTGGCGTTCTCCGGGCAAGTATATCGGCACGCACTAGGTACGTGTCATGGACCTAAAGACAGAGAGACCTGCGTCAATGATGGCGATCCTGCCCATCATTGCGACTTCTTGGGTTGCTCACTTCAGAGGTACGGGCGAATCAACGATCCCGTCAAAGCTTGAGCCATACAAGTTCTCTCCTTCAGAGCTGCACAGGTCTCAGGCTTGGCTAACACGGTCGACTTGGACGGTAAGCAAGGGTAAGGGAGTATGGAGGTTTGGCAAGCTTCATGTCACTCTGCGTAGTCAGGAATTGCTGCATCTTCAGCTCGGACGACTCGGACACTGTCATATAGGATCAAGAACGAGCGACAAATGCTTCCTCCGGCATTGTTAACTCTACTGTTGAAATAGACCTTTTGTCACCTGACTTTCAATCTCGATCTGACATTCCTGTAGGACGGAGGTGATTACCGCGAGCAGCTAGGCGAACAGACGAGAATGCCAACAGCCTTGCATAGCGCTGTCCGATGGGCGTCGGAAGTCCGCAAGGCATTCGCGAAGGACGCCCGGAAGCTCGATCCGGGCAGACTGGGTGGTTACACAAGTAGGGAACACACCATCCTGGTCCCGTCCAGTAGCAACCCCTTTGCAGTCCCATCGCCTGCAGATATATCCACCGTGCAGCTCCGAGAGGCAAAGGACCGAAAAAGGATGTTCGTGATAATTCGATTCTGTCCCAGACGTGGAAAGTCTCTTACCTTTTACAGGCAACCGTGCGAGTTTCGTTTTCCGACAATCCTGGCAGTTATCTCCGGAGAGAATTTGATCATCAACCCGATCAATATGCCCCTCAGGGATTCATAACATAGAGTGTTTCTTCTGCCGTGCCCGGTCTCCTGGAAAAAGAAGCGGAGTGGTAGTCAGCAGAGGTGTATGGGACCCAGACAGTGAAGAAAATATAAGAGAAGCCTCGGTTTGGATTTAGGTTTGCAGCCCATGTTATAATCTGTTGCGTTGTGATATATAGACAGGACTTGGCTAGGGACTGGCTTGGTGAGAGGAGCCTCCAGCTCATCGGATTCAACCTTCTCGTGTTGGATTGTGCCTCGTAAGATATCCTAGCTATGGCTCGAACAAGAATCACAATCGCCATCACAATCACAATCACGTCGACCTGCTGTACTGACCAAGCCCGGTTGCAACAGACCTGTCCTTCCTGTGCCCTTTTCGTTACCAGCCTCGCCATCTTACCCAGATATCAACAATCTTGTCCGGAGTGTCGGTCTCTGTATCGACGATAAAATACCAACTGAACATTGCTAGAGTGATGCATGCATGATTCGGCCAGATGCGCAGCTTTTGTCCATACTGCAAAGGCAGTTGTCGGTTCTCTATACTATTGTCTTCAAAAGCCAAGATGCCGTGCTCCTGACTTATCCGACTCACAATGATGCGATCTTTCTTTGTCGTGCCATAATCACCCGGCATGTTCCACGGACTTACAACACCCCACCCAGAATAGTCCTTGCAAGGTTCTCTTGCTAGTGCCAGAGCACCGGCAGAGATCAGTGCTTCAGGCTGTTCAGTTCGGTTGGGGTACAGAGAGCAGACTTCAGCGAGCACAGATACCGCAATAGTATCATGAGGATCAGAGGTAAAGCGGCGACTGCTAGCAGCTACCTGCTGAATGTCGAAGATTGGGTAGACGCCAGCATGGACTTCAAGCTCCAGGTTAGATCTGGTCAACTCAAGCGTGTCCTTTAGAGCATTAGCCGAGGGGGTAGAACTAGCCGATGAAGGCAGAATGTTCTGCAGAGAGAGTGCAGTGGGAGATGCTCCAACAGAAACGAGAAGCGCTGGCTGGCCGTCTCGCTTAAAGTGCTGGGAAGCTTCCCGGCAGACATCAATTTCGACCTTGAGGTTGTCCATCGCATCGTCTGGGGACGAGCCGCCATAGCTGAGACTGTTATGTGAATAAAAGCCGAGCAACCAGAGATGGCCTTGCTGTTCACTGATACTGACTTCTTTCACAAGATCCATCATATCTCTCGACTCTGGACTCAGACCAGCTCTGTGGTAGCCCGAGTCGGTCTTTATAAAAACCAGGGCGGGAAATCCGGCTTTTTCTTTGAACGACGGCAAGCATTTCAACTGCTCTGGATGGTCAATCATGACCGTAATGGACCCTGCACCAAGCTGATGAGCCACAGCAGCGAGCCGGTCCACATGTGAAGGGCCTAGAGGGACGCCATATAAGACGTTGATCTTTGCATCCCGACCTTTATATTCCAGCAGAAGAGGGACCAACTGCTCTGCTTCGATAATGGTCGACACGATCAACCTCACGTCATTGCAATCTTCGCCGACCTGGATCCTCGTAATTTCTGTTGTCTTGTGAGTCTTGACGTGAGCTCTGAAACTGACACCCAGCTCTTTGACAGCATTCAGCATAGCAACACAGTTTGCCTTTACCTTTGCCACATCTATAACCGCTGCTGGCATCGGTACATCGTGCAGCGACTGAGATTGGTACGCCTGAAGTAGGGCCTCTCTTGATGAGAGAGGATAGGCCGTGGTCGACATACTGTGGTTTGATAAGATCACCTTTGGCTGAGATAGGACGTTGTTAAGGAGACGCAAGCTTTGTGCTCGAGACAGTCACATAAGCTGTAGATTTATTTGGAGATACTGTCGTGAAGGAGAAGGATCGAGGAGGAATGACTTGGCTGCGTGCTATCTCTTTGACGTGATTTTGTTCCCTTTTTTGGCGTCTTGGTGATAACAAGCAACGGACTCCTTTCAAGGGACACCCGTGCAACTAGGAGCGGGGGGCGAACCAGGGTCCCACGGTGGAAATGTGAATCAGGAGTAGAAGGATGGCCTCGAGTAGGTGCTGCTGTCGCTTCCACTGCCTCTCTTTCCGGCCCGGTCTTGTAGAGAGAGTCAATGCTGAGCCCGAAATATCTGCAGTAGATGTTCCGTAGAGGTGCATACGTCCTGTGTCCTTATCGCCTGGTCACTGTCCATCACTTAAAATAAGGCGCCGGGGAGAATGATCATCGGCAATAACCCGATCGCGTTTTCTCATCTGTGGGTTGGGCATGCACTGCATGTTGGGTCAATTTTGATGAGCTATTCCTTAGCTCTGAGTCGGGAAATTTCCTGCGGCCTATCGCGGGAGAGGCTGAAATGCAAGTCTGGTTTCACCATTGGCGACGCCCACTACGGGCGTGACCAATCCCACATGGTCTGCTGTTGACTCCCCCTCGGTCGCTTTGCATTTTCTCGAGCAGAGCGCAAAGTCCCACGCTGCTTTCAACGCGCTGAAACAATCGAAGCCTGGTCAAGACTCGGCCCCATGGCGCATCAGGCCTCAAATTCACGGCCACAGGCGAGATACCCTGGCCCATCCCGTTGGTGGCTTGATATGGATCTGCATTTGCTGCTTACTTCCACGAGCAAGGACTACCTATCCCTCCTCCCATCAGTCCTTCTCTGCGTGGGCACGCGTTCAGAGACTTTAGCTTTCCCTCTCTCCCTCGACCCAGCCTCACACCGGCTGTCCCAAGTCCTTCCTGTTGTCCGCCCTCCTTCGACTCCGCGTGCCGCGTCAGGCCAGTGAACACCGACCTCTTGAACCAAGTCACGGAAGTTGACACTTGTAACCGGCCGTTGGAAGTATCTCTATACGCGTTCACCCGGGTATCCTCTGCTAGGCCGATAGTCCGCCGTTGTTACACAACAGCTGAGACGTTTGGAGGGACTCAGGTTGCACGGGGCCAGGTGCTATATTCTCGACTTATCGTGCCTTCTCCTGAACATCGGCGCCTTGGTGCGTACATAAGAGCACAGAAGAAGAGATTGTTAAGAAAAAGTATCTAAGTACATGGGGTTCAGGGTCAAGAGGCTGTGTTCTACGAACATGTGTTCATGTGGGGACAAGGTGCTCGTGAATAATAACCACCCTTGCATCAATTGATCGGCACCTGCGTCGGGTTGTCTCAAGGAGTCTGCTCCCGCGCAATGTCGATAGACAAGGGCAGCAATGGAGGGCAAGCCTTTGTCCGTCCGCCTGCGCATCCAGTACCGCAATTACAAAAACCTTTTGAGGAGTCAATGCTGGAATCAATATCTGATCAGGTCCCGGAAGATGTCCCTACCGACGCCATGACACGAAGGACAATGCTCCTCGAGGCTCCTACCTATGAACGGGTAATTGCGGGCAGGTGGAAGCAGAAACCGGGAGAAAAATATCATCCACTCTGGAAACTCGTGGCGCAACTAACCTTTGGGATGCATCTATTATCACAGAACATGGCCATTTCGGAAGAGGAGGTCATGAGAATCTTGCAGTCTCACGTCGACGATATCGATGCCTTCCTGGAACGGACCACAGAGGATTTCGATCTTGCACAAAGTGATATCCATGAGAGAATACGTTGTCTCAAGCTCCCGCTTGCACATGGAGAAGTGTTTGACCGAATGTTGGAGGATCGGGCATTTCGCGCTTCCATTCTCGAGGGGAACGAAAAGATTGACCATGTCATCAGCCGGACCAAGAGAGCGGCAAAAGATGCTCTGAAGGATGTACAGAAGGGATTCGATGCTACCAACGTCATGGAAAAATACCTGTCAAAGTTGAACTCGACATGGAAGAGGGAATCGCCTGAGCACGAAGCCGTTCTAGTCGCTATGCTTGGGAACGTCGAAGGTTGGCGCCGAGCTTTCCTGGAGTTGCATCTACAAGGGAACAAGCTGGCTGGGTCTCTGAAGAAGCTCGCGGAGGTGGTTTCTGAGATGGAGCAAAGAGCTGCGGCTGTCAGCAGAAATCTTGTGGTAAGACGATGTCTGCCCTCTTGTTGTCTCTCTTCTTACCGTTGCTAGGCTAGAGCTCAGAAGACCAAACACATTACTTCTCAGGATGCTGGCCGTGCCCCGTCTCAGTTAGGGTCCATCGCCGAGCACAAGCCACTCCCCAGTGAACCAGGTCGTCAACACTCGACCAGGAATTCATCTCGAAGTACCCAACTTACCAGCTTCTCCAGTCGACCGAACAGCGGCCGAAAGTCAAGCCAAGGATTGAATTCGCAACCTCAGTCTTACGGCCATCAGACGCCGCAATCTCCAGAATCTAGAAGACCAGGTAACGAAGGAATACCTGGGCAGTCATTTCCTGCCGAAATGCTGGCGACCGAAGGGCCGCAGCTCGCTTCAGACCGAATTCACAGTCTGGGGGGCCTACTCATTCAACACGGCGAGGAGCATCTCGTTGAACTTCCAGCCGATGTTCCTGAAGATCTACTTCGGCAAGCGCCGGTCTCGATTAAGAATCGATTGAGCATGACACTCGGGCTGAAACCAAAAGACAATACGAGTCACCGCATATCTAGTGTCTACTATCCCAGAGCGTTGGGTGACCTTCTGAAGTCCCCTGCTATATCCTCTCTGTTACTTACCCCTCAGACCGCAAATTCGAAAGGCACACCGGTACAGACAGTGATGTCGCCTGTCATTCCAGAAGGTAACGCCGACTTCTTTCTCTCTCGCGAACATAGTCCCTCGTTAGGGGTATTAAACCCGGATCACAAAAATGGCGTCGACTCTGCCAAACCGTCTCCAACAGGCGCTCAGGCGTCGGCTCGGGCCTCGATAGTGGATCCATCAAGGCCAGTAACGCGTCGCTCATCAATCCCTAACCCAGCATTCACCTCTCATCCTGCTGTGATGTCCATGGCAGCTCCTCCGGTAGAGCTGCCGGCCCCGGTTGAGACAGTAGCGAGAGAAGAGTTGTTGAACTCTCCGTCCTCGCGGAAAGGCTCTCAATTTTCTAGCCTGGGGGAACCTGGACCAGAGTTGAACGAAGGTGAAATGACTAGGTCAACTTCCGGTTCAGTGCTGGACACGACAACGGCCATTGAGCAACCGACGATCACCGTTGCTGTCGTGCCAGCCTCCGGCGAAGAGGAAGGGCAGGGAAAGGCCGAAATGGAGATACAGATTCATCTTCAAACCCAAGTGGATGCGAGAAACAGCACACAAAATGCTGTATATGGGTCGGTGGTGACACCTTTGCAGCCTCAGATCGCAGCTGCAGCGCCTCCGCCGTCTAAAGAAACCGAAAACGCCAATGACGGCGAAAGATCAGCAATTCCCGTCGCTGCGCTCACAATTTTTGAAGACCAGGTCACATCTCAAACAACATCAGGTAACGTCTCAAATAACGTGCTTGCTCAGCAAGTCGACACACTGAGCCCAAAAAGAGAATTTATTGCCGAGTTAGAGGCCCATGTCCCTAACCCTCCTCAACCCAAACCGAAGGAAGAGTTCGGACCTGTAGAGCTGGAAGCTCCACATCAAACATTCAAGCTGCCTCCAAGGCCAGTTGCTGTGGCCGAAATCCCAGTAGAAGAAATTCCTCGCGCCAGCAAAGGCCTGCCTGCCGACTTGTTCAAGCTGCCTCCGAGACCCGTTACCCTGGCCGAAATCCCAGAGAAAGAAATTCCTCGTGCCAGCAAAAGCCCTCCTAGCGACTTGTTCAAGTTGCCTCCAAGACCAGTCGAAATTCCAGAAAAGGAAACTCCTCGTGCCAGCAAAAGCCCCCCTGCCGACTTATTCAAGCTGCCCTCCGAACTCACAATCAAACCTGGTATGAAGCCCAAGGACTTTGGGGGTTCGAACAAGCCAGAGCCGATTCGACCCTTGAAGTTGAAGCTCGCCAAGAAAGACGGCAAGATTGTTCCCGTACAAGTCTCGAGCCCTGGCGGGAGTTCGCAGAGAGTGGACAGTCCGGGCCCCAAGCTCAAAATAGATGTTGTTGCAGATATCATCGACAAACTGTCCTATACACCACCAGGTTCACCTATCCATGCCCGATCAGCTTCGAGTGTCTCTTCAAATTCGGCACAACGCTGGTCGCACCAATCATCCCGTTCGCTAGGACCCCCGGAGCGGGCTCCTGCGCCCCCAGCTCCAGGAGGCCGACCGATGGTGGAACCTGATTTTGCCTCTGCGGGACAGTTTGAGGGAGAACGTAAGCAGAAGAAAAAGAAGAAGAAAAACAGCAATGCTGGGGAGGGAAGTAAGAGTGGATGGAAAAGTCTGTTCCGGGGGAGCATTGCGGATAGCAGCAGCGTCACTACTGCAAGGAGCTCAGAAAGGGCTTCTATACACACAATGACGACGACGACAACGGGGACGGCAGCAACAACAACTACAACGAATGGGACTGGATCAGCACCAAAGGCAGGCTTAGAGGCAGTTCCACCCCCTCAAGCGGACATGATGACTACGTCTGGCAAAGACGTGCTCTGGTTCCGGGGAGATACGAAGAAATGACTTGGTGTATCGTTTCAGCAAAGTCTGTGGCAAAGGCGCTGTTGGATATTGAAGGGGTTTCTCAATTTTCGAGCTGCTGGTTGGCAATCCAAGCATGCTGAACAGGTGAGCAGGGTGCATATAAGATGATAAATCCTTTTAATCTAATCCTATGGATATTCACAAGCTTGGCTTTGATTGTTGTGCGGCAAGAGCTGATGGGTATCTTCGAATGTATCATTTTGGGACAAGCGTATCGACCGACGCTTGTACAAGTACAGTGTGAAGCCTGTAATGTCCAATGAGGCAGTGAGATGGGAAGAATGTGGCTGAGTGTTCTGTAGCTCCCAGTGGTGCCGAGAAGGCTAGACATGAGATGTGTCCGGATACTGTCACCAGTCAGAGAAGGTCGATCCGTCACGCGATTCAACGGCTCAGAATTGCTTGCCCTGATTAAGTTCCCTGGCGGTCGGCGGGCGCCGTGAGGGCTGCGGGCGAGGAGGAAGTGTGGGAGGGTTGGGGGCGCACCCGGGGAGCGGATATGGGCACAGCGAGTGAGGCGGAGCGACTCTCTGTGTATCGGCCACAGTTGTCCATAGTCAAAACCATGGTCAGAATTTATAAAGCAGGGGACAGTGAGTGGTGAATGGACAGTTGGCTGGGTGGTGAGTTTGAAGCATGAACAGCTGACCGGTGTGCATGGACTTTTACCTTGTGAAACGCAGTCTGGAGATGGGGTGCGGTGCCGCTTGGTACAGGACTCCAATGACTTAGGCAAAGTGTTGCGCGTACCCAAGTACCTAGAGAGTAAAGGGAAGTCGGTGCAGGTGAGGGGCTCAGTTGCCGGCATCACGGCCAAAGGCATAAGGCTAAATTTAAGGCAGGCGAGAGCGGGTGGGCGCCCGGGTAGCCAATTGATGCCCATTGATCAACTTCGGTCCAGAAGTCAGGCCTTGCAAGCCTGCAACCCTGGAAGCCTGGTGGCCTCGAGGTCAAACCCCATCTCCACAAACCAACCAACAACCAACGCCGACGCCTACTCGTACTCGCATGCGTGCTTGACTCGTTGCCATCATCCATTCCTCATCGGCTGCACCTCGCACCTCGCACCTCGATCTCGCACCTCAACTTCGTCGTCGTCTTCAATTTCAGCCTACCTGCATTCAATGTTTGCTGATTCCTCTTCATCGATCATCATCAAGACACCTATCTCCTATTTCTTACACAACCCTTATTCCTCGATTGAACAGTTGACTACCTCCACACGGCCGCCGTCGATGATTGAGCCTGCAAGCCCGCGATGCCTGACCAGCTACAACTGAACCTACTTATACGTATCTAGAGGTTCGCCGGTATATCTACATATTCCTGTCGAGTCCGTCTCGGTGTTTGAAGACGTCTCAACATCACGAGAACCTCGCATTTCGCTCCTGAGCCGGCCTACCCTGGGACTGAACCGAGCATGGTGACTGCATCTCCCTGCGCCCGACGCGAGATCCATATCGACTATATCAGACCATGAGCGGAAGGGAACAGCGGCAAGGGTGAAGAGTCAACGTCGAAGGAACATTTACCGGGGAAAAGAGAAGGTACGCAGCACGCACATTACAATTTGCGAGCAAGAGCCTATCTGGACATTGAGGTTCTGAACTTCTGCACCTGGACATCATTGCTGCTTCGCACAGCAATTTGCGTGCTTGTTGGCCATTTGCTCACTCTTGCCCGGGTTTGCGCTATTTGCCCTGTGTTTGTTGGGCTACTCCTTTGGTCATTTTGCTATTTTACATCCGTGTTTTCTGTCCAACATGCCTGAGACATGGTTGCGCAGTTGAATTGACGTGGAATCCCAGATCCGGACCAAGTCCTTGCTTTCCTATTTCTCGCCATGTCCCGTACGAACAATGATGTGGCGCCATGGGACACCAGGCCTCCGCAGTCAATGCCCCCGAAAGCCATGGCCATCTTTGGAACCGGAGGTCCCACGAACACTACAAGCCGTCAGCAGTTCTCGCAATCTCGGGCGCTTCATGACATCGCTCCTTGGGACACCCAGCTTCCTGACGATGACGATATAGTGCCTTGGGAACGCGATCCCCAGGCACATATTTCAGGCACGCGGCCACTGAATTCATCTTATTTCAACGATTCTAGCGGCCGGGATGCTCCAGGTTCGTCAAGGCGTCCGGATACGGCCAGAACAAATACATCAGATTCGCCGGATTATGATGGTGATGCAAGACGGCCGTCGATAGCTAGTGCTACAACGGTCAGCAGTACAGGTTCAAGGAGCAGCACCGCTAATGGTCGATTCCACAAAAGCTTGAAGGGTTTCTTTGGTGAAGATCCTACAGATTCCCGGAAGGGATCGACGGCAGACTTGGGAGAGTCAGTGCCACTTGCCAGCTCGTCGGACAAGCCATCACAGCGGAGTGGTTCTGTCCAGACTCAGACCACCGTTGATGATCGACCCAAGACTCCTGCTCCTCTTCCTTCTAGTGATGTTACGCCTTGGGCTTATCAAAATTTTGAAGATGTCTCAAACTTTGGTTCGGCACCGATCCGACAGGAGCAACAACAGCAGCAACAGCCGCAACACGAAACCTTACAGCCGGTTCCACCGGCCTCTACTCACAGGCGTGGTTTGCTTCATCGACACACAAGAAGTAAAGAAGACCCACCAAAAGGCCTGCAAACCCCGGCCTCAATGCCCAAAAGGCCTTCGACAAGTCGCGAGTCATCGACGAGCAACCTGGCCTTCTACCGCAATACACCGCCGAACAGCACGCCCATGAGCTCTTCTACAACGCTCACGCGCAATGCCAGCCCAGCACCTCAATCACGCAAGGACGCTCCGACGCAATCCGAAAAGAGATCGATATTTTCGAAACTCACGAAATCGCGTAAGGACAAACAGCCGTCCCAGCCTGAGCCGATCAAGACCACTGTTGAGCCGCCACGGCCACCAGAGGAGCACAAGAAGGGTAGAACACAGTCGACCAGAACCACCGCCTCGGATATCTCTGACAATAAAAGAGATAGAGAGACAAGCGTTGCATCGGTTGACAGCGCATCAACGATCAAAGCCACCGACCCTTCTCCGAAGCTTGATCGCACACAAACGGCGTCATCAAAGACGAGTAGGTTCACTCGTCATGGGAGACATCGTGGACCTAGCATCCAAAGTGATACCTCGGAGAAGGGCAAAGCAACAAGTGCACAGGCTCCGATGCAAGCGGGGGTCTTCAGCCTTGACACGAATTTTGATGATATGTCAGACATTATTTCTCAGCCACCAGTCCCAAAAACTCCTGGGGAAGCAGGAATCTGGACGGGAAAAGCTTCCGCGACGCCCATGTCAGAACTCTCTGCCCCCGCTTGGGATGCCCCGGATAGTTGGGCTGTTAAGGGGCAGGAAGATGAGGTGCTTGACAGCTTGCCAGAAATCAATGAGGACGGCCTGCCGGCCATCCAGGAAGAGGATGGCATATCCTACTTTATGCGTGTCTTCAGAACCGATGGGACGTTTGCGACCTTGTCCATGTCTATTAATGCGACCGTGGCAGAGGTGCTTCAATCTCTTGCCAAAAAATCCGTTCTCCATGACTCTATTGAAAACTACCAACTCCTCATGCGCAAACATCAATTGTCCAGACAGTTGGGGTCGGGAGAACGTCCTGTGGCCATGCAGAAAAAGCTCTTGTACCTTGCAGGGTACACAGAAAGGGACAGAGTGGAAGAGGTGGGCAGAGAGGACAACAGCTACCTCATTCGATTCACATTCAGCCATGAGAAACAGACGGGTTACGGCAGCGGCCTTGACAAAGACCCGGCTTTCAACAAGATGCAAAAATTCAGCCATGTGGATCTCTCCGGGAAGTCGCTTGTAACAATACCGATTATCCTTTATACAAAGGCCTCGGAAATAATTTCCATCAACCTTTCACGGAACCTTGCACTCAAGGTGCCAAAGGACTTTATCACCGCCTGCATCAATCTGCGCGAGATCAAATTCACGGGCAATGAAGCGTGGCGGCTACCACCCAGCTTGGCTTGGGCGAGCCGGCTGACTGTGCTTGACGTGTCAAACAATCGGCTGGAACAATTGGAACACGCTGAACTGCACAGATTAATGGGCCTTGTGAGCTTGAAGCTGGCAAACAATAAGTTGTCGGAATTGCCGCCCAACTTTTCGTACTTTCGCCAGCTTCGCAGCCTGAACGTTTCCTCCAATAACTTTACCACATTTCCAGAAAACATATGCAGCTTGAAGTCCTTGGTCGACCTTGACATCAGCTTCAACAAGCTCTCCTCGCTCCCGAAAATCTCACAATTGACCACTCTCGAACGCCTATGGGTCACGAACAATGATCTGAAAGGGCCCTTCAACGAGACTTTCGCAAGTCTGATTAATCTGAAGGAGATCGATGCAAGGTTCAACGCAATTACCAACATCGATAATGTAACAGGTCTTCCGAATCTCGAACAGTTACTTGTCGGTCACAACAACATCACGACATTCAAAGGCTCATTTCCGAAGTTGCGAGTATTGGTCCTGGATCACTGCCCGATCACGTCGTTCGAGTTGGATCAGCCTGTGCCTACGCTGTCTAGCCTTAATATTGCTTCAGCGAAACTAGTCGAGTTCAAGGAAACAATGTTCGACCACATGCCCAACTTGCAAAAGCTGAACCTGGACAAGAACCACCTTTCGAATATGTCTTCTCAGATCGGACGGCTGACGAAACTTGAGTTCCTGAGCATGGCCAAAAACCCGCTGAACATAGTTCCTCCGTCCATTGGCAATCTCGCGGAGCTCAAATTTCTGAACCTCAGGGAGTGCAATGTCAAGAGCCTCCCTCCTGAGATCTGGTACTGCAGGAAGCTGGAGACACTGAATCTTTCCTCAAATGTGTTGGAGACCTTTCCCAAGCAGAACGCGGCTCCGCCTCCAAGTGAGCCCAAAGACTACACACCTACAGCTACTCCAGGCCTGTCTACTTCTCCCAGCTTCGACGATCTGGGCAAGCTTGAAGACTTCCAGGCTCGCCGACCGAGCCAGGCGTCATCGGGAATGATGAGTATCGGTAGCTCCCCAGGCGCACGGAAGAATTCCGTCGTTTCGTTGAGTGCTCATCGAAAGCAATCCGTGATCTCAAGAACAAATACAGAGTATTCGATGTCGACTGCGACTCGGAAGGATTCCAACATATCACAAGCTCGACTACACAATACATTTGCCGGGTCACTGCGGTACCTGTACTTGGCTGACAACCGCCTTGAAGACGACGTCTTCCGGGAACTCGTCCTCTTGCCAGAGCTCCGCGTTCTCAATCTGTCATACAACGAACTAGACGACTTCCCCCAAGGCGTGTTGCGACGCTGGCCTCAAATGAGTGAGCTCTATCTTTCAGGAAATGAGCTCACATCTCTACCTTCCGATGACCTCGAAGAGAGTAGTAATCTGAGAATATTGCATTTGAACGCAAACCGTTTCCAAGTTCTTCCGGCCGAGCTCTGCAATGTGCACAAACTGTCAACCCTCGATGTCGGGAGCAACTCACTGAAGTACAACGTCTCAAACTGGCCGTACGACTGGAACTGGAACCGCAACACGAATCTCAAGTACTTGAACTTCTCCGCCAACAAGCGCCTAGAAATCAAGCCTGCTGCGCACCAGAACCAGTCACATTTCCATTCAATGAACCGCAATGACACTACGGACCTCACAAGCTTCAATACCCTGAAGTACCTCCGCGTGCTGGGTCTTATGGATGTGACACTTTTGACGAACACGATTCCGGATGATAACGAAGATCGCCGTGTACGAACCTCGGCATCCGTCGTTGGGGCACTGATGTATGGTATGGCAGATACTCTGGGCAAGAACGAGCATCTGTCAACCTTGGATCTCCTGAAACCGAATTTTCGAGGCCAAGATAGCGAGATACTCATTGGGATGTTCGACGGCCAGACCATGTCGAGCGGCGGTTCCAGGATTGCCAAGTATTTGCACGAGAACTTCTCGGCAGTCTTCTATGACGAGCTGAAAAAGGCGGAGAATCTGAAGGACACTCCGATAGATGCCCTTAGACGAACTTTCCTGACAATTAACAAGGACATGGCCAATTTTGCGAGCAGCAACTTCGACACGAAGGAGCACAGGTTGGCTAATGGTCACCGGGGTTCGACTGTCGCAAACATCCTGGGCCCCGATGATTTGAGTTCAGGGGGGGTGGCGGCAGTCTTGTATATCAGTGGACAGGAACTGCACGTCGCGAATGTGGGTGATATTGAGGCCATTCTCATCCAATCCAATGGGCAGCATCGGCAATTGACGAGAAAACACGACCCAGCGGAGCCTGGTGAACGGGAACGGATTAGGGAGGCTGGAGGGTATGTCTCTAGGCAAGGCAGACTCAACGATGTCCTCGAAGTGAGCCGAGCATTTGGCTACTACAGCCATATGCCGTCAGTCATCGCCGCGCCACACACGTTCAAATGCCAGATTACCGAGTCGGACGAGCTCATCGTCGTGGCCACGAAAGAGTTTTGGGATTACGTTACGGTGGATGTCGCGGTCGACGCGGCTCGAGCCGAGAAGAACGATCTCATGCTGGCTGCTCAGAAACTAAGGGATCTTGCAATGGCGTTTGGTGCGAGAGACAAGATCATGGTCATGGTCCTCGGAATTTCCGACCTGAGAAAGAGAGGCAATCATCGTTTCCGCGGGACCAGTCTGTCGATGGCGAAGGAGATGGGTCTCGACGAGGGGGCTATATTTCCAAGTTCCCGGAAAGCTCGGCGGAAGGGAGAGACACTCGTTGGCGACTCCCGGCTTGCTCGACTCGAAGAGCCGGAACCACCAGTGGGCGATGTTGCGATATGCTTCACTGACATCAAGAATTCAACGGCATTATGGGAAATCCTTCCAGTGCCCATGAGATCGGCGATAATGATGCACAACGAGCTCATGCGGCGACAGCTTCGTATCATCGGTGGTTATGAAGTCAAGACGGAAGGCGATGCATTCATGGTGTCATTTCCCACCGTGACATCAGCGTTGCTTTGGTGTTTCAGCTGTCAGAGTCACCTTCTGGAATTGCCCTGGCCCCAGGAGATCCTGGAGACGGTTCATTGCCAGGAAAAGTTGGACTCGGAGCAGAACACCATCTACCGTGGGCTGTCAGTCAGAATGGGAATGCACTGGGGGCGGCCCGTGTGTGAGCAGGATCCGATCACTCGAAGAATGGATTACTTCGGGCCCATGGTCAATAAAGCTGCCAGAGTCTCCGCTGTGGCCGACGGCGGACAGATTACTGTGAGCAGCGACTTTATTGCCGAGGTTCAAAGGACACTGGAAAGCTATGCAGACGATGACCGGCGAGATTCTGTCGGCTCAGAAGATACAGTTAATGACGATCCGCTGTCGGTCCAGATTCGCCGCGAGCTCCGTCAACTGAGCAGCCAAGGGTTTGAGGTCAAGGATCTTGGAGAGAAGAAGCTGAAGGGCCTCGAAAATCCGGAATACATCTACCTGATGTATCCTCACTCGTTGGCAAGTCGGCTGGAAATACCGCCTGGTGCGGAGCAGAAAGTCCAGCTGGGAGGCGAGTCGCCTTCCACGGGCGACGACAAAGGCCAACCGGGCACTCTTGGCAAGGATAGCCAACTGAAGGATCTGCAGCTGGACGAGGTCTGGAAACTCTGGGATATTGCCCTGCGCCTGGAGATGTTGTGCAGCTGTCTAGAGGCTCCGGAGCGGTCAGCCGGACTGCACAAGCCGGAATTGAGTCTGCTCACCCGAATGAAAGAACGGGGCGGCGTCCAAACAGATGGGTTCATGATGAACCTTCTGGAACACCAGGTGACGCGAGTCGAGGTAAGCAGAATAGCTAATTCTATCGTCTGTGCGGGAGACAAGCTAACACATTTGGTAGGCATGTGCAACGACCCTGCAACTTCGACACATGTACCAACCTTTCCAGAAGGGAGTCAGTCTCTTTGATCAGGCCAAGCCAATCAGCGAGATTCTGCGCGAGATATCGACAATCCTCGCCGAAGTCAAAGAAGAGCGCAACCAGATTCATACTCCCGACACTGGAGAAGAAACCGACTCAGAATGAGGCTGGAGGGATCGCCTCATTCGATATTGACGACGATGATGTCTACAAGGTGGAGACACTGACTCCGGCACGCGATATTCACACCGCTCGAGACCCTAATTTTCGGCTACACATCGACGAATGAGACGTACAACTAGGGAGCTCATAGCTCGGTAATTGATGCTTCCAAGGCATGGAAGGATCTGCTATTAGTATTGGGAGGGCATTGGGATGGAAGTTATGAACACAACAAAATCATTCGGCACTTTGCAATTTAGGCATGGTGCCTAATCTAGGGCGGCTGGGATGGGAACTGCTGTTTGATGAGGGTTTTCATACAACAACCAGGGAGGGGGCATTTGGGAAGGGATGAACGCCGTTACGAACACTCTGAAATGCGTTGTCGAGCGTCTGGAAGTTTTTCTTTTTTTTTTTTGGATTGGGTCCCCTATGCACATAACTTATTACTTGTGTACTTGAGAGAAAAGGGAAAGGTTGTTCAGGATATGGCTATCCTCTGGAAATATGGCTTCTTTTTATGGTCCAGCAGTTGGTTCGGTTGCTGTCGATGGTGTTGAGAGTGAGAGGAGCAACACGGAGGGTCTGAGATCAGCTTTAGAGGGAGGCCGAAGAAGCGATCAGCAGGGGACGGACAGCACAGGACGGGTACAGGTACATGACAGTACAATAGGGCAGAGACAGCACAGCGCAGAGCAGAGCTACAGGTTCCCAAAGAGACGACTATGACTTTGTTTCTCTCCCGCCTTGGTTGTTTTCATGTTTGTGGCCACCATGTTTGTCGCAGCCGTGGTACAGCATGCCATGCCATGCATATTATACGGTCTTTGTAACCACAAGGGGTTTCTCATGCCGCCGCACTCGCAGTGCTCGACAACAATCCAATAAGACCAGCACTTGATATCAAACTCGTCCTCTTCCTCCTTCCGTTTTGGGGTCGGAATCTGGGTTCAGCCTCATCCTCCAAGCCACAACTGGGAGACGTGGGGCTGCTATATACGAGGTACATGATCGGCGTCTGCTATGACCGCATTACTACCTAGAGGTCAGGATCGCAAGCTTGGATTCGGATGGTAAATGGCTGATCGACTACATTTCTCCGAGCATTACGCCGAGTACCATGGTACGTAGACAGGAATAAGACCTTAGTACTACTACCTCCGTCCATCATCCTTTGAGATTTCCGAGAAAAAGACAGAGTCTTCTTTCCAAATGAAACACTATCACTTTGAAAGCAAGCCAGTGGCTCATGCCGATGCTATCGTCTCGGGACCTCATCACCGCTTCACTGTCCTCACCGACCGTCTGATTCGGTACGAATGGTCTTATGACGGCAAATTCGAAGATCGAGCATCGACTTTTGCCATCAACCGTGAGTTTCCCGTGCCCAAGTTCCAGGTGGTCGACAGGCCCGATGAACTCGAGATCATCAACGATCATTTCCACCTGAGCTACGACAAGAAGCGGTTCAGCGCGAGTGGCCTGTTGTGCAGCTTCTCGGCCAAGGTCACTCTCTGGGGAGCGCAATGGCGATTCGGTGCTCAACCCAGCCATGGCAGACAGGAGAACCTGGGTGGAACGGCACGGACATTGGACGAGGTTGATGGACGATGTGACATGGGCAACGGCGTGCTGTCGAGGTTTGGTTATGCCGCCCTTGACGATACCAAGTCGATGCTGTTTGATGGTCAGGGCTTCGTGGCTGGTCGACGACCTGGTGATCGGATTGATGGATATCTCTTCTGCCACGGTCACGATTACAAGGGCGCCATCAGGGACTTTTACGCCGTCAGCGGCAAACAGCCCTTACTTCCCCGCTGGGCGCTCGGGAATTGGTGGTCGAGATACTACAAGTACCGTCAGGACGAGTACATTGGCCTGATGGACCAATTCAAGAGCAAAGAAGTTCCCCTGTCGGTCGCTGTGGTGGATATGGATTGGCACATGGTGGACGATCCTCGCGTCCCTCATGCTGGATGGACGGGTTATACCTGGGACAAGAAGCTGTTCCCCGATCCCGCCACGTTTGGACGAGAGATTCACAGTCGGAACCTGAAGATCACCCTCAACGACCACCCGCACTCGGGCATCCACTCGCATGAAGATTCGTACGAGGACATGGCCAAGTTCCTGAGCCACGACACCTCTCAGAAGAATCCTATCCTGTTTGATCCGACGACTCCCAAGTTTATGGAAGCCTATCTGGGGATTCTCCACCGGAGTATAGAGAAGATCGCCTGTGATTTCTGGTGGATTGACTGGCAACAGGGCTCTCATACCAAAGTGCCGGGAATTGACCCGTTGTGGTTGCTCAATCACTTCCATTTCCTCGACAACGCCCTGGATGGCAAACGCCCGCTCATCTTTTCGCGATATGCCGGCCCAGGCAGCCACCGCTATCCCGTGGGGTTCTCGGGGGACACGGTGACAACATGGGCCTCGCTGGAGTTTCAGCCCGAGTTCACCGCCACGGCGTCCAACATCGGGTACGGCTGGTGGAGTCACGACATTGGCGGCCACTTCCACGGGAAACGCGACGACGAGCTGGTCACGCGCTGGGTGCAGTTTGGCGTCTTCAGCCCCATCATGCGTCTGCATTCCTCCAACTCGAGGTGGACGTCCAAGGAGCCCTGGCTGTATCGGGAGGAGAGCGAACATGTCATCGAGACATTCATGCGCCTTCGACACCGCATGATCCCTTATCTCTACACGTGCAACGTCCGCGCCTCGACCCAGGACGAGCCCCTCATGCAGCCCATGTACTGGCTCTTCCCCGAGCGCGGCGAGGCTTACCAGGTGCCGAACCAGTACTTCTTTGGTTCGGAGCTCATGGTGGCGCCGATCGTGAAGCCACGGGACCGGCGGACGAATCTGGCCTGCGTCAAGGCCTGGTTGCCGCCCATGCACCGGCACGTGGACATTTTCACGGGCACCGTCTACGACGGGAACAGGGAACTCAACATGTACCGCCCGTTGCATGAGATCCCCGTCTTGGCGCACGAGGGCAGCATCATCCCCCTGGACGCGAACCGGACGCCCGGCAACGGTGGGCTCAACCCAGAGCACTTTGAGGTTCTCGTGGTGATTGGCCGCGATGGGCAGACGTCCGTCCTCGAGGATCCTGCCGACGACTACAACTCGGATCAAGCCAAGAAAGAGGCTCTTCCTCAGACCGCAGGCGAGCGCACTTCCCAGATCCAATGGAACCAGGCCAAGGGCGAACTCACGGCCCATATCACGCACGGGCGGACGTGGAGCTTCCGCTTCCTCGCCGTCACCGAGACGCCCAAGGACCTCAAAGTCACGGTCGACGGCCAAGACCGCACCGGGGATACCGGCGTCTCCGTCTCAAAGTTCCCCGACACGCCCTCGATGCTCGTGCACGTCCCTTCTCCTCAAGCTTCCCCGGCCCCGCGCCCCGACACGTACACCATCACCGTGTCTCTCTCCGGTGAACGCGGCGGCGGCGACCCGCAACTGAGCGTGCTGGACCACAAGCCGCGCATCGAGAAGCTGCTGCTCGACTACCAGACCGAGTTCGACGTCAAGGACAAGATCTGGAGCATCGTCGACGACAGGGACAGCGCCATCAACGTCAAGATGGGCAAGTTGATGAGTCTCGGCATCGACGAGTCCTTGACCGGGCCGGTGGCAGAGTTGATCTTGAGTGATGTCCGAGGCATGCATTTGTGACGAAGTCAGTGAGTTAGTGATGGAGTGAGCGAGGAGGAGTTTGAACCTGTAAAGGTGGATTGCTGGTGCGGAGGGAGTGAGTACTCTCTCAGAATGTCAGAGTCATGGACTTGTGGTTGAGGTATTGAAAAGAGAGAGATGAAGAGAGAGAGAGAGAGAGAGAAATTAAGAGCATATCACAGATAAAAAAGAGAGAGATAAAAGCATAACAAAGATATAAGAGACAGACAGACAAGGGATAACCTGTAGATGATACTCTAATAGAAAAAAAAAGAGAGACAGAAGAGGTGGTCTCTTTACATGAACAGTGTGCGCATGTGCGCTTGATACTCTTACCTATGCTTCAAAGCAACAACGCTTTTGCAAGCAATCTCCTAAACGTCAAGACCGGTAAAGTCAGTCAATAGGATCGATCTCTCGCAACTCAAGGATGTGTGACAAGGTGATATGGTAGATACAGAAGATTTCTAAACGATTCCTCTTCTTCCTCTTTGTTTGAATCGTCCCTTGAAAAAGGGGACGACGGGCCTTTTTTCATCGCCGCAAGTCTTCCCTAGGGAATTCACAATTTACTCTCGCGGCCAAACGTCGGAAATACCTTGGCCTCCAACCACTCGCCAATCAGGCGGTTGCAGTCCTCGGGCTTCTCCCACAGGGCCCAGTGGCCGGCGTCGACGTCCCGGCGGGTCAGGCGCGGGATGCGCTCGCCCATCTTGGCGGCCATGAAGGGTTTGAGGGCCTGGTCCTTTGTGCTCAGGACGAACAGGACCTCCTGGCGCAGCTGGGTGTCGCGGTCGGCCTGGCGGGGGTCCTTGCGCCCGTTGTCGTAGAAGTCGCGCCACTCGTTCATGTAGTTGACCTCGCGCGTGCGGTACCAGTTGAGCGGGCCGTGGACGCCGTGCCGCGCGTACTCGTCGACGTAGTAGTCGAGCTCGTCGGGGGTGAGGAGCCGCGTCGCGCCCATCCGCCGCTGCCGTGCCAGGTCGAGCCCCTTGTGCGCGTCAAAGGCCACCTCGCGCGTGTCCACCGTGCGCCCGCCGTACATGTTGACCAGGAACTGGCGGATCTCGTCCTTGGACCGCACCGCCTCCTCGATCTCCCCCGACACAAAGTGCTCCTGGTACCCGAAGTTGGGCAGCCGCTTCTGCACCAGGATCCCCAGCGGCTCGTAGCTCGCGTTGGGCGGCGAGTAGGGCGTGCAGATGCTGAACACCGCCGCGATCAGGTCCGGGTAGTGCTGCGCCACCCGGTACACGATCGACCCGCCCCAGTCGTGCCCGCCCAGGATGATCTTGCTCAGCCCCATCTGCCGGCACAGCTCGGCCAGGTCGTCGGCCGCCCGTTTGAAGCTGTAGTCCTGCAGTGTCCACTTGGGCGCGTCGGTCCGTCCGTAGCCCATCGAGTCCGGCGCCACCACGTCGAGCCCGAGCTTGGTGAAGAAGGGGATCTGGTAGCGCCAGCCCATGCTGATGTCGGGGAAGCCGTGGATCAGGAAGACGGTGCCCCGTTTCGGCACCGATCCCGACGCCGGGCTGAACAGGTAGCCGTATGTCCTCCCGTTCAAAAACGCCGAGCGGAAAGAGACGCGCGGGTCATTCTTGACTTTGATCTTGTCGACTCTGGATTGTTGTTCGAAAGCCATGGTGGAGATGCACGTATTCGTGAGGCTTTTGTCCCTTCACCTGTGTCTTTATCCAAATACTGACGTGATTATATACACACCTCTGACCCCGGCTCGGTTGGCAGAATGCTGGACTTGCTCCGTCGAGACGGATCTGGACGTTGCCCTCGGTTCACGGTCCAATTGCAAAACTTCCCCCACTTTCAATAGTCAAAGATGTTGACTCGTGCTAATTTCCCTCGCAATGATGACTTATCAAGGGGAGAGAAGATGATGAGAGCTGAGTTGACATAAATATGCTGGTTACCTCCTGTTGCTCTCGGTGTAAGCATGTCTGTCTTGCTAGTTAGTTTAGAGCAAACAGCCGAGGCTTAGATATCGACACGTGACCAGATGCCCCAAGTACATCTTTTTGCGGGGGAGCTTGGCATCCTGGAAGCTGCCGAGTGGTCCGCTGATGCCGCTGTTTATCCGGATGACTAATCTTGGCTTGGCAATTGCGGTGCCCAACAAGACTCACCTCATCAGGCTGTCACATGTCTAGTTGTCTTGGGCGAATGAAGGCAGCTTGGGGGAAAAGACGAGCCATGTATAACTCTGCCCAACCTGCCTTATCGCAAAGCACGTTGGGAAGGAGTAGAATGCGTTCTCATCCTGTGCCTTTGCGGGAATTTTATCTGACCTGGCCGCGCTGCCGCGTCAGGAATGTCAGCCCCTGAGATAAGAGGTTATGGCGTGATGCAGGCCCCGAATGAGCAAGTCCAATCATCTCCCTACTGGCCACATCGCCGTGACGCGACTGACCCGCGGACTGATGCGATACATCCGATCAAATATTATATTGACATGTCGACATACGTCCCAGCGTGTCAAGTTTGTCAGCACGGGGCTGCCTGTGCAGTAGCATGTTTCGCCTTCTGCCGGTTTGCACAATCCCAGCCTTCCTTTATATGCCGCTGCGCTGTGGTCGTCTTGTCATTCAGGTCAGCCTGAAGAGCGCCGTTCATCACTCGTGAAGTTGTTTGGTTTATGGCTCCCGAGATGCAGGACCTCGAAACGTCGCCTCTCTTATCCCCCAACCCCGAGCAGGGCTCGGTGCACGATTCGGAGAGCCTCGTGTCGACGACAGCAAAGGATGAGAGAAATATTGACAACGATGTGCTGCCAGAAACATCGACGGCGGGGAGGAACATTGGTTGGGGCAGCGCCTACATCCTCGTCATCTCTCGAGTCATCGGATCAGGCATTTTCGCCATGCCTGGAACCATTGTCCAGAATGTAGGCAGTCCTGGCCTAGCTCTGGTCCTGTGGGTTATTGGAGCCATCGTTGCGTGGGCTGGACTAGCCATCGACATGGAGTATGGATGCATGCTTCCACGCTCAGGCGGAGTAAAGGTGTATCTAGAATATACCTTTCGCAAGCCGCGGTTCCTCACCTCGACTCTGGTTGCTGTTCAAGCTGTCCTCCTCGGGTTCACGGCAAGCAATTGTATCGTCTTTGCAAAATACACCATTTTTGCCGCTGGCGCCACTCCCAACGACCTGAATACCAAATTACTCGCAGTCGGACTACTGACCTGGATCACCATCGTGCACAGCTGTTTCTACAAGACAGGAATCTGGATTCAGAATGTCCTCGGTTGGGTCAAGGTTGGGCTGATCGTGTTCATGATCCTGACTGGATTATTCGTGGTTTTATTTCGGCCTCACACCTCACCCAGCAGCATCCCGGACCCTGCCTCGGCCACAGCATGGGATGACCTGTGGACTGGCTCCGATTGGGCGTGGAATACCTTGTCGACGGCATTTTTCAAGATTCTCTACTCGTATGCAGGACTCAGCAACGTCAACAATGTCCTCAACGAGGTAAAGAACCCTGTGCGAACTCTCAAAACGGTCGGACCAGCTGCGCTGTTGACTGCTTGTACGATGTATGTGCTCGTCAACGTCGCATATCTCTCGGTGGTGCCACTTGAGGAGGTCAAGCGCAGCAGAGAGCTCATAGCAGCTCTTTTCTTCGAGCGGGTCTTTGGGGCTGGCTTTGGCAACAAGTTCCTTCCCCTTGCCATCGCTCTCAGCGCTGTAGGGAATGTCATGGTGGTCACCTTTAGCCTGGTACGTATCCTCTCCACCTAGCGATGAACGTCCTAACGATTTGCCAGGCTCGAGTCAATCAGGAAGTTGCTCGGCAAGGGTTTCTTCCTTTTTCAGAGATCCTGGCTTCTTCCAAACCCTTTGGTGCTCCCCTTGGTGGTCTCATTGTCCACTACGTGCCATCTGTATTGGTCATTGTTCTCCCACCTTCTGCTACAGTGTACGCTTTCATCGCAGATGTCGAAGGCTACGCAGGGCAGTTTTTCGCGCTTGCTGTTGGTGCTGGCTTGATCATTCTCCGCACCAAGAAGCCCGATCTCCGGCGACCGTTCAAAGCTTGGATTCCGGCTGTCTGGTTCAGAATCATCCTGTCTGTGGCGTTGATTGGCGCTCCGCTGTTCCCCTCCAGCAAAGGGGCTTCAGATGTCAATTTCTTCTATGCTACATATGCCTTGGTTGGGATTGCAATGTAAGCAGCTTCTATGCCCCAAAACGCCATATACTGACCATATCTATAGTCTTGTTTTCGGACTCGTCTATTGGTTTGTGTGGACCATTGCATTACCTCACTATAGAGGCTATAGGCTGGAGGAAGAAACGGACGTGCTCGGTGACGGGACAACAATCACGAAACTCGTCCGCAAGGAATTATAATCAGTGCACTGTATTGATAAGCATACGGGACGCCGATTGGAAGATCATGAAACAAATCACTCTGAATACTTCGCTTCACTGAACATAAGACTGTGAACGCCTGAGCAATTGGAGGCACATCATCCAATGGCATAGATGCCCATTCGCCTCGGGTATTGGTAAACACACGTTCTGGATGGCTTACCCCACACTCCGTCTGAGCATCGCGTGTATAGAACCCGGGATGGCGTGCTATCTGACAAATCAGGAAATACTGTGGCCTGGACCATAAGTACAGGGTGCCCTTCACTTGTCGGCACAGCTCCGAGAACTATCCAGCAAGCGGAAAGCGACAACAATGGCATCGGCAGCAGTTCAACAACCCGGCGGTCACTCGACCTCGTTCGAACCTTTGACGGCGCAACTGAAGAGTACTTCGGTGCCTCAACAGGAGAAACACCATGTCCATACCCAGTTGAACTATCACAAGGATTCTGAGGATGGAAGCCCACCGCCTCCAACTTATGTTGGCAAGCCAGAGACCTACGAAAGACCAATCCAACCAGTCGACGTTACGGTACATGACATTCGAGGCGAGGAAAGTAACTATACGCTTGACAAGAGTGGCTTTGAGATTTACCGTCACACGAGTGTCGAAAAGGACTTTCTTGATGACGATCAGATCAAGGCACAATACTACCCGGAGATCGAACAGTTGTTGAAGGATGCGTGAGTGATACCCTAGAGTATACCACCCCTGACCTTCTAGCTGACAATGGCTGGTTGATAGCACTGGGGCCTCTCGTGTTTTGATCTTTGACCACACGATCCGTCGAGCCTATCAGGACGAACGAGGAAATCCCACTACACCTCCTCTTCGCGGGCCCGTGAACCGCGTCCACATCGACCAGAGCTACAGCGCCGCCAAGTCGCGGGTTCCATTCCACCTCCCCGACGAGGCCGAAGCCTTGCTCAAGACCCGCTACCAGATCATCAACGTCTGGCGACCGATCAAGACCATCCTCAAGGACCCCCTCGCCGTCGCTGAGGCCCACTCGGTGCCAGACTCGGACCTGATCGGCGTCGGTCTCATCTACCACAACCGCAAGGGCGAGACCTACACGGTGCGACCCAACCCGGAGCACAAGTGGCACTATCTGTACGGCCAGACACCGGAGGAGGTCCTCCTGATCAAGTGCTTTGACTCAAAGTTGGACGGACGAGCCAGGAGAGTGCCACACACTGCGTTTGTGAACCCGGAGACGGTCAATGAATACCCACGAGAGTCGATCGAGGTGCGATGTTTGGTCTTCCATGAGGATCAGACCGCTGAATAAACCGAGAAGTTGGGGGAATATATGTCAGCCAGTCAGATCTACCTCCGGTACTGATATGAAACTATATGATTAGCAATATATCTCCACCGTACCAGCGATAGTCTGATCCGTATCTGGTCTACCTCGTAATGGTCAAACGACCAACTTGTAACTGTCATCCACTCTGAAAAGTTCGTTTCCCCAATGATGCCCTTTCGCCGTTGACATTTCAATCCGTCGGGGTTTGCCTCGGTTTTTGCTGCCCAAATCCTCCACCACGACGAAACGATCGACATGTCCACTTATTTGATATACTGGGTACTGGGGAGACTTGGTGAAGGTGTACGACGAGTACGACGGCGCCACTTGGATTTGTCTGCCAAGCCTGCGCCACGAGGCGGAGTCAGTCACATGACCGCGCTTGACTGCATCAGGCCCAGAGGATGATGCCTTGACCCCCCCAGCCACAGTCCACGATCCCTCCCTTCCCCTCCCCTCCCCCTCCCCTCTACTACTTGTAGCCAAGGCATCAACCAACTTGCCAAACTGCGCCCCCCCGCCGTTGTGGAGTGATTTTACAAGCATTCGCCCATTCCCGTCCGTTTATCAAACGCGCCTTTTCCGCCGGTGCACCTTCTCTCCAACGTGACTGCGTCATCCCTAGATTCTCGCACGGTGATTCTGCCTTGGCTCTGCCCTTTGTCTTCCCTTTATTACGGCCCGCATTTCTCTTGACGGATAAGGGGGGTTGGTTTGAGAAGGGGGCCCTAAAACTAATATATTATTTATCTCCGGGCTCAAAAGGCAAACCTGCTTGGCCTTTTCCTCATCGTTCCCTTTTCCTGCGATACCACACCAATAATCAAAGCGACCTTCTTCTCTTTCCATTTTTATCTGCCTATTCTCGGCGCAAACTCAGTCGAGGCAGTCGAGATCACAAGTCTCCTAATCCGACCTCTACATACACGGCGCAAATGTCATACGGGCCCCCTCAGGGTCAACCTCCGTACGGAGGATATCCTCCTCAAGGACAGGGCTATGGCCACCCTCCACAGCACGGCGGATATCCTCCTCCCCAGGGTGGTTTTCCCCCTCAACAGGGCGGTTATGGCGCTCCACCACCACAACATTTCGGTGGTCCACAGCAAGGCGGTTGGGGTCCTCCTCCCGGAGGCCCTTTCCCAGGTCAATATGGCGGACCTCCACCACAAGGGGGCTATGGCGCCCCTCCCCCTGGCGGCTTTCCCCCGCAACAATACCAGCAATATGGCGCTCCTCCCGCGCAGCCCTCGCCCGGTTACGTCCTCGGCGCGCAGGCGCAAGGTGACGCGTCGCGCGACGCGGAAGCGCTGCGTAGCGCAATGAAAGGCTTCGGCACGGACGAGAGAGCGCTGATCCAGATCCTGTCGAAACCAGACCCCTTACAGATGGCACTGCTGAGAAACACCTACAATCAGCGCTTCCACCGCGACCTGGAGAGAGACATCAAGTCAGAAACATCAAAGTATTTCCGTGACGGGCTGGTCGCGCTTGTCCAGGGCCCGCTCATGCACGACGTACACAGTGTCCACGGAGCGATCAAAGGGCTAGGGACGAAGGAGTCGGTGCTGAACGATGTTTTGCTGGGTCGATCGAATGCCGACATGCGCGCCATCAAGCAGGCGTACCAGCAGACGTACAGAAATACCCTCGAAGCAGACGTCAAGGGGGATCTATCGATGAAGACAGAGAGGTTGTTCGAGTTGGTCATGTCGGCCACGCGAAATGAGGAGTCCACGCCCGTTATCCCCGCAGAGCTCGAGCGTGATTGCTCGGAGCTACACCGCGCCATGGACGCCCGCGTGGGCACCGACCAGCTCACCGTGTGCACTATCCTAGCAAGACGTTCTGATGGCCAGATCCGCGCCATTGCACAGCATTGGCACCAGATGTACCGTTCGTCCCTCGAAAAGGTGATTGAGTCCGAATTTTCGGGACACATGAAAGACGCACTGGTCTTGATGGTTCGGAGGGCGAGTGACCGCGCAATGTCCGACGCCGTGCAGCTGGAAGATGCTATGGCGGGGCCGGGCACCAAGGATGTTTTGCTCGTTCAACGGGTGGTCCGGGTGCATTGGGACAAGATGCATTTGGACCAGGTCAAGCGGGCCTACTCGCACCGATACAAGAGGGATCTGATCCAGAGGGTGAAGGGCGAGATCCATTTTGACAAGTATTACGAAGGGCTAATGGTTGCTCTCTTGTCTTGATGGAATGATGGGATTGCCAATGTTTCTTTCAAGTGTTTTTTTGGTTTACACAGGGACCGACTCTGGGTTTTGAGGTTCAACATGGGTGGCTGCTATGATCAGACTTATCACATTCCTCCAGGCAATGAGTGACTAGGACGGGTATGAACTACTAGCCTTTGGTTGTCTCGCGACAACTACTTCTGCATCTTTGACAGAAGGTCAAATAGGATAATGCTATCAATATCTTTCACATTATAACTTGGAATTCGTTGCTTCGGCCGACCGCACTCTTGTATTCGGGTTACGCCGTTCCTCTTTCGCAGTGCATCTCTTTGCTCTTGTGTCAAAATGTTCCGTTCAGGGGGGATCGTGTGAGTGTTGCCGTGCAGTATATTCAATCTCCCAGGACTAGACAGGCGCTGTAAGGCACGTAGCACGTAGAAAGGGAAACAGCACCAAACAATTGTTTTCTTGGGAAATGCGGCCGTCAGGATCTATTAGTTCCGGAAAGGAGCCACGCGATGCTGGAGTGGTCCGCGCATTGAGCTGATGTGCTTTGCGATCGGTGCCTTGTTAGAGAGATGACTGAGACGTGTGATGATACATATATCATCAGACGAAGACAAGACGAGAGTATGGCGGGTAATACTCAACTGGGGGAAACCTGAGATTGAAACATGAAGCAAGTCTTCGCAGGACGCCGGGCAGGGAATTGCCAAGGCCCGCAGTTGTCGGCTGCGTCCCTTGAAGCACGACCAATCTTCAACCTCACACACAACCTCCACAGTTACAAGAACGTTGTATCTCGTATCCTCTTCGCATCTTGATCGCCGTCGCGTCAAGAAGCTGTTTTGGGAAGCCAGCGTCGGGGTGAGCTCTCCACGATGCCTAAATCAGGCTCTGGAAATGTCCGCAGATCAAGGTCTGCAACTCTGTTGTCAGCTCTGACTGACAGGCCTCGATCCGATCAACTGCCCTTCAATCGGAGTACGATAATTGGTAATATGCTGTGCTTGGACCAACCACCCCCACAAGGAAGCCCCGGCCATGTTGTCTGCCTTAGCGCAGGGCCGAAGGCCTAAAGACGCCTATCAAGATTGATCTCCAACGAACTGTTGGCACCGGCTTGCGGGAGCCCGGAAGTTCTTTATCCCTTCGATTTCCATCTCTTACCACGCCCCCGTTCGATGCTTCTAGAGGCTAGGTTTATCGCGCAAACTACCTCGCACAGACCATTGTCTGTTTGGAGCAAGCCCGATTTCCAAGCAGCTTTCAGGTCGGTTTTTGGGGCAAGCATATTGACCACCAGTTGCGCCGCCCGGGCGTATTATCCGCATCACCACACCCTTTCCCTCCATTGTTTCTTTACGCATTGTCCCCCTCCTGGTCTTCCGATTCTTGTCCCTCTGTGGCCATGCGCACTCATCTCTTACAAAGCACTACCTGCGAATATGCATCTCTGAAATGCCCCCCCACAAGGCCGGTCTTCTTTTTGTGAACAAGACACCCGAGTCAAAGTCTCTTTCCAACAGCAAAGGCGACGTCGAGAGTTCGCGCCAGATCCACAAGCATGTCCAGAAATCCCGAGACTATGAACAAGAGAAAGAAACCCGAAGGAAACTGAAGAGAGCGAGGCTGTTCTCCCTGGGATGGACTCCTATTTCGGTCGCTCCCAGGCAAACGCCCGCCTCGGAACCTCTCCCCGTGCTTTCAGACGCGCTTCCCAGCAAGGGGGCCCATTCTGTCGCTCTTAGACCCCACGTACATCGGCAGCGCGAGGCGGACGCTGATTGCTGCACCACTCCAGATAGACCCAAGAATCATGTTCCAGAGGTCTCGCTTGTCATTCCTTCATGGGGTTCGTTGGATCCGTTTGGCCAGTTCAGAGTCCCAATGAACCTCGAGAAGCACCGCATCCTTGAGTACTTCGTCCTGAGGTTCTTCCCTGCAGTGACGCGAAGCGATGTAGTCGCATTCATGGGCCACACCCGAGCATCTTCGTCAAGTCCTGCTGTGCAGGCTGTCCGTCGAGCCACAACCAACGAATTGCACGTCCTTGCACTCTTAGCTGCCGCAAGTGCTCGAATGAAGTTTGTTGATCGATATCATTTTTCCCGCGCGGATCTACCCGAGCGGCTGGCAGATGCGACTCTTCGACTCCTGAGGAGCTATTTGAGCCAAGCGCGACCAATCACCCATGAGTTGGTGCAAAGCATCCTATATTTGTGGACCGTGGAGAGCTATCGAAGAAATTGGGACGCCGTCTGGACGCATGGGAAGATGATCATGTTTCTCTGCAATGCTCACCTCGGTGGCTTCCGGAACCTGGATCCTTATATGCGCCGCATGCTGTGGGTGGCGGATCGTTTCCAGGCGGCTGCCACACAGACTCCACCCTTGATCCAAGAGAGATGGGAGACTGAAGAGCTGACACCGCAGCAGTACACCTGTGCGGTGGCCGCCCTGCGCGAACATGGCAGACAGCCAATGGGGTATGGTTTTATGGAAACAAATAGCGTCTTCACCGAGGATTTTCAACGTCTGCTAGATGCTGTCCTGGAGCTTTGCTGTGTCATTCATTGTCATTGGGCCGGCGTCGCCGAACAAGCACTCATCCCAAAACAAGACTGGGCTGTTGCTCGAAGCTATTTCGTGGCAGACGAATTGATTAACTTTAAAGACAGCATTGGCGGGGAAGGCCCCGAAAGCCCCGTTTCTGGGGAACCAAATTTCCAGGACTGCGTTCGCCTGGCTTTGATTGTTTGGATGGCATTCGTGCCAGCGTGTGTACCATATGCTGTCAGTGCAGGACAAGTTACACTGCGCGCGGCCGTCGACGCCAGATCTTTGCGGCACAGGCTGGGGCGGATTATTTCGAGTCTGCAGGAACATCCGGCTAGTGTGAAAGAACAAGCTATGCTCCTGTGGGTTGCCGGCTTGGGCGCTGTTGCGAGCGAGTTGGTCGACAATCAAGAATGGTTTGCGGTGCATTTCCAGAGACTTGCAAAGACACTCGGGATCTTTTCTTGGGAAGACTTCAGGCCGATCCAGGAGAGATTCTTGCTCCTGGATCACCTGAAACCGGGCAGCGTGGTGAAACTGACGTGGCTCTTACAGCGAGCTGTGCATGCTGACCTTGGAGACTGAGCCATGGCCGTGAATTGGCTATATACGCCCAGGAAATTGCGATGCTGGCACCGGAGACTATCGAAGGTACAAGAACGCTGTCTTGTCAACTGTGAATCTTGAATCGCAATCTACACTACTTCGGCAGAAAGATCGATATACCAGTGAATCTGGCGGACCGACACTTCTCATGCCAATGTCAAAGCCACCAAACCCCAACACAAGCATAGGGTGTGCTCATCCTGCGTCGCAGACAACAGACTTGCTTCCCAAGTTCTTGTCTACGCCTGTGCTACGGCGACCATGCTGCGTCTTCCCAGCTTCTGGAGAGAGTGTCCGTCCAGGGCTGGACTCGACGGCCGGATCACAAGTTGCCACCGATCGCGGAGTCACGCAAAGACGGCTATCTGGCGCGCCTGGGTAGATAAAGTGGACTCTGGTATTCCGGCGGCGATCACGGAAAATGTCGGGGTCAGCAGAAATCAGCAACGGACAAGGACGAAAGAGAACCGGGAGTTTCGGGTGTTGTTCGGTGCCCAGGCCGAGGGCTCATTGATGCCGGAAGATAGTCCAGGGTACTCGGTCACGACGATTACTTTGTAGATGGTGGTGCGTATCCGAGGAGTAGGCGGTCGATGGGTTGAGATGTTTCTATCAATGACAGAAGTGAGATGGGCGCAGTTAAACTGAACATGACCGCGCGCCCTTGGCTGGTTGCATGCTCGGAAAAACATATTTACCGAGGCAGAATTGAAAATGGAAAGGAAATGGGGAATGGAAATCACATGCTTGGCGGGGGGATTTGGATGCTTGGATGCGTAATTCCCTCGTCATTCTCTCTTTTCATTTTGTTTTCCTCCCCCGCATTCCTCGGCTGTCAGATTCAATTTGATTGCTGAGATCCGCATCCGATGCCTCGTAAAACATGCGTCACAAATTACCTGTTTGTATGTATGTACCAAGGAAAAAGCTATGGTGGGGGGGAAATCCAGCTGACCCTTTTGGTGTCTTTGTTGCACCTTCTGACTTCATCCCCAAGTCTCGTGCTTTTTGCTTTTCCACTCGTCCTTCCAATCCGCTCTTGTGCCTGGCGAGCTTTCTCTCGAGGCTAGTAAGGATCCCGCTAAAGCTGCTGGGGGGCTGCCACTTGCCATTATGACACACTGGGCATATGATGAAATCTCTCTCTGGTCTTTTTTTTTTCCCATGGGCTATGCATGGCTCATGGCTCATGGCTCCAATCCTTGTTCATTATTATTGCTCGGCCCTGGCACTGTCGCGCTAACCCGCTGCCCACCCAAGGTCCCCGCCCGCCGCCGCCGCCGCTCGCCTTTCTTTCTCATCCTGCCTCGGCGGAAGGGGACAAAAAAGCTAGCTGGCTGGCTGGCTGGCTGGCTAGCTAGGTACTCACGACGAAACTCATTGAACGGTAAACGCGGTTGTTTTCTTGTTGCTGCGTCTTCTTCCTCTCGGTTTTTGCCTCTCGGACCTTTTTTTTCCCCTTGCTGCATGCATGCAATCTTCGATGATTTTCCGGATTCAAACCGGGGCAATTTTGGTAGTGTCTAGTAGACGTTGCTACTCGGTAGAAGTTGTTAGTAGTCCACACGTCCACCACAACGTCCGTCCGTCCCTCACTCGTGTCCGTTCAAAGTCTTGGTTGGGATCGTGCATGATTGTCATAAGACTAGCTGATATTTTCCCTTTTTTTTCTTGCCCAAAACTACTCAACTTCTCCCTCACTTCGTTTTCTCTGGGCTTTCTCGGGTGTGCAAGACTCTCTTCGTCTTCCTGGGGGGTTATTGAGTCACGATCGTCCTCACTCCTCTCCTCTCCTCTCACTACCAACTTGAAACCATTGGGCGTTGTTTGCGCTTTTGAGGGAGCTTGAC